GCTGTGCTCCCTCCCAGCTTCTTGTGCACCCGGCAGAGCACGGGAAGCTGAAAAGTCCTTGACCAGTGTAAGCACTACTTAGCAACAGCTTAGCACTACTTAGCAAGAACCAAAACATCAGTGTATCATCGACATTGTTCTCGTCCTAAACCCAAAACACAGCACTATACCAGCTACTAAGAAGAAAATTAACTCTATCCCAGCTGAAACCAGGACACCTTGGTACAGATATTCATCTTTTATTTATTTAGGGAACCTATCAGCAGCTGCTTCTGTCTATTGTCATCTGCCATGCTTTCTCCCATGTTTGCAGTCTGTAGTTAGACATAAGAATTACAAAACAAATACAAGAGACAACTCTGAGGAGCTAATTTAAGTCAAATGTAATGAATGAAAACAAAAAGTAATTAGTAGGGGAAGAGGAGGAAGAACAGAATTATGCTACTATATTAAGTATTTTTGGCTCACTAGGAAAATATTTAAATTAGTTTGAAGTTTTCAAGGAAGGAGGGAGGTAATTGGAGACTGTGCCATATGGGAGAAGGCAGTGCCATGCAGTGGGAGGGAGGCTATGGAGTGAGTAGCCAGACTGGCATCATCATTAGTCTTCAAAGAAAGTCCTTGACAGACTGAAATGATATTTTGTGATAATAACAGCTGGGAGCAGAGATTGTTTGGAATAGGTAAAAAATATGTGGGTTTGGCTAACTTAAACTGAACTAGTATCTGGAAAGGTATCTGTAAAATAACATAAGAAAAAAACCCACAGATTCATGACCGGAAAAGTAGAAACAAAATAGGCAACAGCACAAAGATGACTGCAAACAGGAAAGAATAGGAACCAAGAATGGGACTAGAAAAATGGAGCAATGAGAAGGAGCTGCATACTGGCATGTTAAAATAGAAATCACAGGAGAGGTAGCTATGAAAGCAGGGTGCGATTGAGGAGGATTTAAGTCTACCAATAGAACTAGGAGGTACAGCAGAGCACTTGCTACAAGACATTGTCAGGAACACCTTGTCATTTGGCTGGTAATCTGACCAGCATCATTCTTGCGTACAGGTGGTGTTTTCTGCCACTGCTTTCTCTAGCACATAGATATTTGAAAGGTCATTTTAATGCTACAATCATCCATCATTGATGAGGTCTGGTATCTTCGTTCACAGTGCCATATGCCACAGGTATCTTCATCATGGAGCTTGCTTCATCATGTTACTGTTACTGTTTCTTTTCTTTTTTTTTTTTTTTAATAATTTTGATTCTTCTCTGTTTTCTACCATGAGGTTTTTTTTCCTGGGAATTTTGTGCTTATTCTTCTTCATCCATTTTTTTTTAACTTTTCTAATCCGTGGGCTCACACAGAACTTTCTGCCTTCTATGTAGAGACTGCCAGAGCAAAAATTAGTTGTCAGTTTCAAAGAAAAAATGTAAAAAACCCCAACTTCATACTTATCACTCACATATGAAGACTATAAAGTTAGAATGGGTTAATCTTAAATTATATTTTATACTATGTCTATTCCCTTTTGTCTGGTTTCAGATATGGTAAAAGTTAGGATCTAAAGTTTACATGATTACACTTGTCTTCCAAAATCTGAAAAAAGCTTTACTACTTCAGTGAGTCTGAAGAGAACCACAGTGCAAAACAGTACATTTCTATTGCCAATAAATAAGTAGACCACTTTATTATTATTATCATCATGATCATCATGCAAATGTCAAGAAATAAAAAATGTCCAGAATTTCTTTGAAATTTATCGATTTAAGCCAAACAGTGTGATATTGTACCAGTCAAAAAAAAAAAAAAATAGCTTATGTACAAAAGTAAAGCTGATATAATGAGTTTAGGCAAGGTTTGTAGAGGATCAGTAGTTGGAAAAAAACAGAGACGCCTTAAGATGTGTAAGTCCTTCTTCAGTTCTGAAAATAAAGCAAGTGTCAAAGTTAGTGCAGGCTGAATAACAATCAATATTATTACCGAAAAGGAAATTCAGTTTTAGCAGTCAGAAATTTAAATAGCACAAGGAAAGACAGTTCTTAAATCACACACAGTCTTGTTTTTCATTGAATTTGTGTTAGCATTCTAAGATTCTACTTATTTAAATGGTGCCTAATAGGTTTTAACTTGACAGTACCCCTTTCACAGTGAAGCACCCAAAACATCTCTTACATAACAGCTTCTAGGTGACATAGGCCATCAGCTTTCTGGATTTCAAACTTCTCCACTCTTCTGAGAATTCCTTTGGGAATTTCATCTGAAATGTTCATGCAACAGTTAAAGGCCCCAGGAAACAAAGCTAAAAAGAGTAATAACAACATTAGAAACAACATAGATATGAAGGGGACAAGCCATAGCTTGACTTCACAGAATTGCAGAATGGTTGAGGTTGGAAGGGACTTCTGGAGGTCATCTGGTCCAACCCCCCTGCCCCATGACCATGTCCAGACACCCTTTGAATATCTCCAAGGATGGAGACTCCACAACCTCTCTGAGCAATCTGCTACAGTGTTTGATTGCCCTCACAGAAAAAAAGTGTTTTCTTGTGTTCAGATTGAATTTCATGTGTTTTAATTTGTACCCATTGCCTTTTTTCCTGTCAGTGGGCACTACTGACTCCCTTGTCTTGTTTCATTCCCATCAGGTATAGGAATGATGGTTACAACACCTTGATGAGATCCACCCTGACCCTTCTCCAGGCTGCACAGCCCCAGCTCTCTCAACCTTTCCTCATATGAAAGATGCTCCAGTCCCTTCATCATCTTAATGGCCCTTCACTGGACTCTTTCCAGTAAGTCCACGTTTCTTTTTTACTGGGGAGCCCATAACTGGACCCAGCACTCCAGAGGTAGCCTCACCAATGCTGAGTAGAGGGGAAGGATCACCTCCCTCAACCTGCTGGCAATGCTCTTTCTAATGCAGCCCAGGATACTGATACCCCAGGTGCCTTCTTGCCAAAGCTGTTTTCCAGCTGGTTGGCCTCCAGCATGTACCAGTTCCTGGGGTTATTCCTCCCCAGATGCAGGACTTTGCATTTCCCCTTGTTGAACTTCATGAGATTCCTCTCTGCCTATTTCTATAGCCTGTTGAGGTCTATCTGTAAGGCAGCAAAACCATGTGGTGTATCAGCCACTCCTCCCAGTTTTTTATCATCTGCAAACTTGCTGAGGGCAGACTCTGTCCCATCGTCCAGGTCATTAATGAAGATGTTGAACAGCACTGGCCCCCATGTTGACCCCTGGGGTACACCACTGGTGACTTGCTTCCAGTTGGACTTTGTGACACTGATCACAAACTTCTAGACCAGGTCATTCAGCCAGTTTTCAGTCCACCTCACTATTCACTTATCTAACCTATACTTTGTCAGCTTGTCTATGATGATGTTGTGGGAGACAATATCAAAGGCTTTACTGAAGTCGAGGTAAACAACATCCACTGCTCTCCTCTTGTCCACCAAGCTAGTCACCCCATTGTAGAAGGATATCAGACTGGTTAAGCATGATTTCCCCTTCCCCATGCTGACTACTGATCACCTTCTTGTCTTTCAGGTCTTTGGAAATGCTTTCCAGGATGATTTTCTCCATCACCTTCCCAGGGATTGAGGTGAGGTTGATCAGCCTGTAGTTCCCTGGATCTTCCTTCTTGCACTTTTTGAAGATAGGAGTGATATTTGCTCTTTTCAAGTCTTCAGGAACCTCTCCCAATTACCATGCCTGTTCAAAGATGGTTGACAGCGGCCTCACAATGACATCATCCAGCTCCCTCAGCACTTGTGGGTGGTACAACCCATCAGTCCCCATGGCCTTATGTATGTCCAGTTTTTTTAAGTGGTCCCTAATTTGGTCCTCCACTGATGATAAGTCTTCCTTGCTCCATACTTTCCCTCTGGTCTCAGGCCAATTTTAATGGTAAAGAGTGAGGCAAAGAAGGCATTGAGTACCTCAGCCTTTTCCATGTCATTTGTCACCAGTTGTCCTGCCCCATTCAGCAGCAGGCTCACATTTTCCCTACTCTTTCTTTTGTTATTTATGTACTTGTAGAATCCTTTCTTGTTGCATGCCACATCCCTTGCCAGATTCAACTCCAGGTCAGCTTTGGCATTCATAACCCTATTCCTGCATGATCAGACAGCAACTCTATACTCCTCCTGGGTCACCTGCCTCTGCTTCTACCCCTTGTACACTTTGTTTTTATGTCTGAGTTCAGTTAGGAGCTCCATGCTCATCCATGCAGGCCTCCTTCCACCTTTGCTTGGTTTTCTGGTTGTCGGGACAGACCTTTCTTGAGCTTGGAGGAGGTGACCCTTGAATATCAGCCAGCTCTCCTCGACCTCTCTTCTCTCCAGGGTCATATTCCATAGGATTCTTTCAAGCAGATCTCTGAAGAGGTTGTAAGTCTGCTCTCCTGAATTCCAGGTCTGTGGTCCTGCTTTTTTCCCTGCTTTCTCTTTCTAGGATCCTGAACTCCACCATCTCATGGTCACTGCAGCCAACACTGCCTCAGACTTTCACGTCCCTGACCAGTTCTTCCTTGTTTGTAAGTATCTGGTTCAGCTGAGCGCCTTTCCTTGCTGGTTCCTCGATTACCTGTGCCAGAAGTTATCATCAATGCACTTGAGAAATCTCGTAGATTGCTTGAGCACTGCTGTATTGTCCTTCCAGCAGATATCAGGGTGGTTAAAGTCCCCCATGAGGACCAGGTCCTGTGAACGTGAAGCTTTTTTCAGCTGCTTGAAGAAAGCCTCATCTACTTCTTCCTGATCAGGAGATCTATAGCAAACACCTAGTACAGTGACACCCATGTTAGTCTGCCTGCTAATCCTGACCCATAAGCTCTCAGTTGGCTCATCATCCATCCCCAGGCAGAGCTCTGTGCATTCTTGCTGCTCTCTCGCATAAAGGGCAACTCCCTCTCCTCGCCTTCCAGCCTGTTCTTCCTAAAAGCCTGTATCTCTCCATTGCAGCACACCAGTCACGTGAGGCATCCCACCATGTTTCCATGATCCCAATGAGGTCCTAGCGCTGTACCTGCAGACAGACTTCTGACTCCTCCTGTTTGCTCCCCACGTGCATTAGTGTAAAGGCATTTCAGAGGGGCATCAAGGGTTAGTTGTCTTTACAACTTATGAGATGAGATACCATCCTCTCAGCTTCTCCCACAAGACAGATGAGTGGTTTTGTTGTTTAAAGAACAGTTTCCTCCACCTCTCCTTGTGCACATATATGTAAAGGCTTGTTACAGTAAAAAAAAATTAAAAATTTTAAAAAAAAGTATTTTATTTGTGGAAGAAGATCACCAACATTAATGACACCGGAAGTGTTCAGGACTATAATTTAAAAGCTTTGCCTTGCAAGGCTGAATCAGGCCCATTATCTTTTGTCTTTGAAATTATGAATGCTGTTGCTGGGTTTTGTGTTTTCTTTTGCCCCAAGGGCCTAGGGGTTTGTGGCTGAATGCGTTTCTGCTAGGGAATGATCTCCTGCAGATTTTTTCCTGCTTGCTAATACCATCTTGAAAAAAAGAGTCACTGAACATTTTGGTGTTTGATTTTCTTCTGCTCTAGCACAGAAATATATCTTCTAAAAGGAATTCCCTCCATCAGTTCAAGGACAAGCAAAGCTGTGTGGTTGAGGGATTTATCTAGGACGGGAAGGTCTCAGGATCAAACCCATGTTTCAAAGTGACCACAGCAAGGGGACCCCTGTGTCCCAGTCAATGAACTAATCTGGGAGAAGTGGGGAGAGAGTCTTCTTCCTATTTGTTTTGATTTTTTTTCCTAGCCTTTAAATCATGCTGTTCCTTAAGTAATCATCTAGCCTTGGAGTGCAAGAGTCATAGAGCAAGAAAAAAGAAGCAGGAGAATCCATTTCAAATGCTTCCTGTAAACAGGAGATGAGAAATCCATTTAAAAATTTTCTTGTAAGCAAGAAGATTATGTGCTGTGTTCCTTACAAGAGTTCTCGCCGAGCGCTGGAATAACAGAAGATGCTGGCAAAGCTGTAGCAATGAGCTCGAGCAGCTAGCAATATAGCGGGAGTCACAGAAGACCAGTCATGCTATCTGCTACATCTTGCAGGGCGCTTTCGTACCTGGTGGGGTTGATGACAGAACCCTGGGACTTCACAGTCAGAAAGGAAGGCGAAAGAAAGCAGTTGGCAACCCAGAGAGGAGGACTATAAATAATCATATGGTGCAGAAGGATTAATTAAGTGTTGAATGTTACCTGTATTATTTCCCCGTTGTCCTTTTCTCTCTTCAACAGCATACTGCTTGTGAAACCAATTAATTCATGTTTGCAAATGGGAATTCAGCTCACTGAGCACCACTAAGTTTAATTTTTTCTGAGGGCTCAAGACAGTGTTGGTGATGCTAAAGTATGAACTTCTGTTGTCGCCAGTCAGCTCCTGGCAGAAGGATTATGCAGGATAAAAACTCAAGGAAGGGTAATTATACCTTGAAGTCTATCTGAGGTTGCCAGCTGTGTTTTTTGGTGAGGTCTAGTCCTGTGCTTCTTTGGGGTGTAGTAAACTAAAATACTTGGCAAGGCCAGCACTGACAGCCTCCCATGGAATGGCTGGATATTACAGAAGGTCTTAGGGTGAGACAGCTGTCTCCTGAACTCTTCCTCACCTGTTTTCTCTGGTGCCTGGCTATCATCTCTTGCCCTCATCCCACTTTATGTACTCAGAAACATCACTTGCCTTGATCCCCAGATCTGGACCATCTTTATTGCACTGTGGAACAATGGTGGAACAGTAGTCAGTCACTTTCTTAGGGCTGAAAGGATCAAAAGCAGTTGGCAACTAGAGATTACTGTTTTCACCTGCATTCAGCTAGACCTGTTTTAGAAGCTCTTTTAGTAAAATGTTGCTCCTAAATGGAAAAGATCCCCAAAGTCTGTGAGACTCGGTGAGTTTGAATTGATGTAATTGCAGTGGAGTGCTAGAGAATGAAGCACAGTGAAAACAATGGCTTTGATGGAACAAGACCTCCATGATTACTGTTCATTATATCTGTCTTTACACTTCTGTTGATCAGTATCAAGTCTCTTTGCCAAAAGTTTCTTTTTCCATTTCCTATCTTCTACCTGGCCAAACTCAGTCCATAGAAACTTTTCTCATCCTTTCTGCTTTGCTTTTTTCGTCATCATTCTCAAACCTGAGAGCCACATGTTAAACAGTTGAGGAAGACCATGTCATCTAGGGTTCAGGCAAGAAATATTAAAAGCAGTTATTGCTTCCTGCTCAGTTTCTGGGGCAACAAAGAACATTTCCCTCCTTCTTCAGTTTTGGGTTGATATTCTTAGATTTGCCTTCCTATTTAGGGAAACTGTAGTGCCTGATGAAGAGCCTTCCTACCGCATACAGTGGGAGTAGCAGGTGGCTGTTCTGCTGCTCTCTGGCTGCAGCTTTTAGGCAGGTAGGACTGGGTTAATGTCTCAATATGGGTAGGGCAGACCACTGGGAAGGAGAAACACAGCAGTCATTGGTTCAGCCAGGCTCTTCTGTAGAAAATTTTAACACAGCAGGACAGGTCTTTGCCTCATATTTTAGCTGAAGGGGGACCAGATGGAGAAAAAAGAGAGGATGAAGCCACATGGAAATAGATGGTGAGTGATGGAGCCATTGCATTCCCCACCCCTGTGCTTGCTCTTAACTATCCTTGGTTTCATTTTGGCCTCTTTTGACTAAACATGATAGGAAATACTGGACTCTAGGTGAGAACAGTGGGAAAGACATTTTTGGTCCCTGTCTCCATTTCTCTCTGCTCCTGTTCCCAACCCAGCTGCCTTACACAGGCCTTCTGCAGCTCTTTTCCTGACAAGTTTCACTCCAGCAGTTAGTGTTTTGACCAGGCCTTTGGTGGTCCCTCCTGAATTCTGCTGGCAGCACAGATGAGCCTGTCAGTACTGCTGTCAGAGCCCTTAGTTGACCTAAGTGAACTGGATGTGACCCATGGATTGCTGAGTGAAAGGCCATGCTGTAGACGTTCTTCTATGTAATCATAAAACCAGAAAGATAGTTCTTGCACTTACACAAACTAGGGGAGCCCAGCAAAAATGCATATAGTTATTAAGCAGAATGGGTTCTTCCAACGTACTGTGTGGTTTGAGGGACAGCTTCTCTTGCACAGCGAGTTCCATAAACCTGAGGCACTTTCTGTATCATCTACGCTGAAATGTGAGACCTGCTGCTAATGTGCCTCAAGTTCATCATGAACTGATGCGGCTCTGCACTGATTACACAACTTTGGCACACCTGGGGCTATTAGCAGCAGGCATTAGTGTTTCCTAATGGAATTCTTTTGTGGTTACAAAGTAGGCTTTGTACATCTGGAAAAAAAACTTTGCATTGATTAATTGGATTAATGTTTTGCTTAGTCAGAACATGATATGTACTGAAATGTTCTGGTCTCAATACAGCCATTTCCGTAGACAAGTTTCACGTCTTAATCTGGTGTTGTTGGCTTATGAACATAGAATCCAGGCTCTGTCCTTGGAAGAAAAATTACCATCACATCACCTACACTTTATATTAACTACTATAAGGCAGCTCATTTAGTACTCATTTGCTCATGAAGCTGCCAGAAAATGTTCCTCTCATCTAAAACAAACTTGAGGCTATTTTAAGAGTTCAGTAGCTCAAAGCAGGTCTTTTCAGTTTAACCCAAAGGAAGTCAGTAATTATTTCATTATGAAGAAGGCTCTGATCCTGGTTGGCAGGTGAACAAAGCAGGATGCTAGAATCCTTGGCAAATGTAGCATAGCTGTACTCTGCAAAAACAAGGAGCCTGCTTAACAGCTGGAGATGAGAGGGGAACTCAAATGCTGAAAAATGCCTTAATGCATCCTACTATTTTGACTGTGTGGTAATATGCACAGCTAAAGCATAATTCTGAGAAAAAGGTAAAGAAAAGATTTAGAAGGGATTCTAAGCTATACCTGCTGAAGTGGTGGAAATAACCATAAATAAAGTATAAATCATAATATATAAATCATATGATATAATTTTGTGGCCAAGAATAAATACAAATGAAGTTATGCAGTGAAGCTTTTCCTGCTCTGCTATGAGGACTGCTGTTAATATGGACATTTTCAAGTCCGGAAGGCCAACTGGAGATGATCAGGTGAGTATGTCATATAGGTCATGATATTCAAATAGGTCTTTTTGTCCATCAAATCATCATCAGTTTGTAAGCTGTCTGTCCACATACAGCATCCTTGATGCTCTGGACTACAGAACATCAAGGAAATGCAGGCTGAAAATTGGCAAAAGCGTGTAATACTGAGGTGGTCAAACAAACACTAGTATCCAGTGCCTTACCAGAAGGTGAAATTTCTGCTATTCCTAGCAAAAACAAACCACGTAATGTCTTGCACATTACAATGCAAAAAGAAGCTGTTATGTGAACATACATCTGTATTTTTCTATGAAGCAACACAATTTGATAAGAGGGAACCCATCTCCCACACTGCACAGATCACCCTCACTCTGACCAGATCAGCATTACTGGAATAACTTGACTAAGATAACTCCAACTAACTCCTTCAGGAAGACCCAGAGTCTTATTTAGTTGTTATTCCTACCCTATAGCATTTAACAATTGTTTTGGATACTTTTATTGTATAGTAATTACCAAACTTCTCTCTTGATATCTGCAAGATGAAACATATGTAGGAGCTGCTGAAAGAGAACTTTTGTCAAATTGAAATTCAAACCAACCACCTTTGAAATAAGTTCCCTTGTCCAACCTGCTGCATAGTCTGTCATGCAGTGCTACCCACTTCACTGCAGGTATGACAGTGTCTGGCACTCTGTAAATCCCTGGCACTGAGAGCAATAGGATGATGGAAGAATATCAGGGATTTTTTAAAAGTAAAATTGCAAAAATTTATTTTGAATTATATTAAGGAAAAAAAACACATCCCCGTCACACTTCCACAAAATTATTTTGATCTCCTCATTTTCTGGCACTGCCTGGTAGGGCCACGTTCCTGCCTGCGGCTGGGTGTAATTTTGGCCACCAGATGGCTTTCCTGGCCTCTGTCAATAGCTACCAATTCACATCCACAAGCAAAGGAAACTTTTGCAAGTTTGCATGTACCAGCCCAAATCTTATTTTTATATCTGTACCATGATGCTGAAATAAATGGATGCATAATGGCCAGCCTAGGAAGCCTAACCCATTTGCTAGTTCAGATCGGGGTAGGGTGTGCCTGTACCCAGACAGCCACATGCAGTTCTGCCTATTTTTATTGTGGGTTCTGCTGTTTGAATATTGTTGCTAAGTACAGAGCATGTTTGCATGAGGAAAGTTAGGGGATGAAGGTATTTCCCCTGTGCCAGATGGTTCAGTATAAAAGAATGTGTTCTAAGAGAACCTTTACTTTGACCTGTGTATGTACATGCCAGTCCTATTGTGCAAGACCTTGCTGACTGGCCAGATCATAAATCTAATAGAAAAGAACTTGCAGAGCCTTCCCATGCCAGCAGGTGCAGAGGCCATTTTAACAGGATAAAATTTTAAGGCAGATTTTGCTCATGTGTTGTCTAAATCCCCAGGGAACTCCACGATTCCTACTCCTACTGAAGCCAGTGGAGCTTGAGAAAGGAGTATCTCGAAGGCTGAAGTCCTCCAGAATTTGAGTTATCTTCTCTGTGAACACAGCTTATTTTACAGTAGAAAATTACAAAGAAAAACTAAGAATTCAAGCACAGCACTGGCTAATCTGTTTTGTAATTTTTAAAATTTTGATGAAAATGCAAGAAGACAAAAGCAAGTGTTATTAGATCTCCCAAATCCTCAAGATGTGCTGCACCGAATGCAGAGCAAAGCCGCATTGCAAAGCCTCTTTTCTGCATATGAGAAATCAGTTATGTGAAGTTTGTCATAATTTTTTTTTTAATCTTTGCAATTTAACTTTAAAGGAAAAAGATCAAGTGATTTTCTAAACATATTCCCTCTCGAGAAGCTTGGAAAAGAGGAAATTGCAGTTGAACTAGAGAGATCCCTTTAAACACTGAAATTTTAATAGGTGTTCCCTCAGGAAATCACTGCTTTAAACTTCTTACGCCTTCAGCAGTTAAAATGTCTCAGCTACAATGTTCTTGATAATATTTGCTATGACAAATAAACCACATGGCTTTTCCTTGTTTAAGTCATTTTACAGAATCAAAAAGTCCCCACGTCTGTTGTGGAAACATCGAGGAAATGCTCAGGTGAAGCCCTAACTCCATTGAAACAAATACCAATTGTTCTATGCAGTTTGAGAGCCATGTTTCACTTTTAAAATCTTCCCATGCTACAGCACAGACCTTTAAGCTATCATCTGTGGTCCCGTACAGAGCTGCAAAGGCTTAAGCAGACACAATTCCAGGTAGACACCCTTCGGGTATTTTTTTTTTTTTTACTTTTAGGAGATTAAAATATAGAAATAGATAAAGTACAATTTTAGTTACTCTCAGATGTCTGACTAACCGCAACTATTAGAATAGCTAAAACAGTGACTAAGTTTACATCCATTCCTCCTAGGAGCTATGGGAGCACAGCCACAGAGCAGGCGGTGAGCTGCAGGAACTAACGCCTGATCCTACCTCCCGGCTGCCAGGGATGAACGTGACTCAAAGCCCCACCCTGAGCAGCAGCTCGATGTCGGCTCTGTCCCATGCGGCACTATGGACTTTAGCAGGATTCCTCTTCTCACCTACAGATGCATGGTTAAGTGTTTTGCCAGATGGGAAAATAGGCTTTTTTTCCACTTAGCAGCCCCAAGGCCGTACTGCCTTACAGCCAGATCCTCCCAGCCCTCCTCGCTGATGAGGCTCTTCAACAATAGAAGTGCCAAGGGTAGAAATACTTCAGAAATAAACATTTGCAGGATTAAGGCAGAAGAAAAAAAACAACTTTGCTATTAGATATCGTCTCCGTGTGAAAGCTAAACATGCAATGTCATGGGCCAAACCTGCTGTAGTATAAACAGGCACAACCTCAAGAAGCCATGGAGCCTTGCACTGGCTTTGCATTTGACCTATGTGTTTTCAGCCTGTAAAGACCCTGAGAAAGGGCCGTGTTATTTAGCACACCTTACTCCCCTTTTGACCTGCTGGTAATGCAGCAGCTGTGGTGTTCATGAAATAGACTCTGCAATGTTTTTGGCGAAAGACAGCTGGAGAGAAACTGCAGCTGGTATATCTCCCTCTATTTTTTTTCCCGACTCTTGTTTCTGCAGCCCATTTCAATAACTTTCTGTGATATCAGAGGAACACTCAATCTGAACAAACTTGTGGCTTTCAGTGGGGGGAAAAAAAAAGTGTATTTGGAGGCTGATAATTTCCATAACACTTCTGTGAGTGGCATCAGAAAAGTCTTTTTCTGACACATGCAGGTGATGGGGAAAACTGTCTCTGGGGAAAATAACTCCTCAAATTTCCTGCTACACTTGACATACGTCACTGGTTCAAATCTTCTAAAACCTGAAAAGATTACTGTGCGGTCTCTGTCTGAATTGAACACTATGGCTGTATGGGTAGCAAGCAGTTGCCATATTTTGCTGCACTCCACCACTGACATTGCACTGCAGGCTGTCTGCTTTGACCTTTTCCAGGGCTGAACTAGAAAAATCAGTTTGGGAAGTCCCTAGACTGTTCGACCAATCTCACCTTTGCTCTAGCTCATTACAGCCATTCTTACCATTCCTAAATTTCCAGAACACGAGATAAAAGAAATTGCTAACCTCAGGGACTTTAATCTACACTTACACTGTCCCAACACCAGTTTTGCAATTCTATCTAATAATAAATTAATATAGCGCAATCAAACTTTCTGGCTATCACAGTTTTACTTCATAACTCTTGGTTTCTGCTTGACACTGTTATCTACCAGGATAAGAGAATGAGGCAACTGCAGAGTACTACACTTTCGAATGAAAGTCTACTGTTAAGAGGAGAAAGAGTAGATAATGATGTGTGCCGTTTAAAGTATGATTTCAGGGAAGTCATTTATGTTGAAATCAACAAGCTGATTCATTGTCACCATTTAATTACAGTGAAAAATCTGCGTTATAAAAGCTAAACCACCACGGCCAAAGCTAAGACAGCTCACAACACCTTTATTAACATGAACTTAGATAAGGACAAGACTATTAACAGCATTAATGACCTTTAAAGTAGCACAAAGAGGAACGAGCTAGATAAAAAGAAATATAATGAGACAGGTGTTACTGGAGTAACATGTTAAAGAAAGCTTCAGTCATTATTAATTTGATTTTGTATTCCAGTGTCTGCTTGGCACTGCAAAATGGGGTGATTTGTGTCCTTGCGGATAACTAACTAGTTTGTTCTGACAAATGCTTTGCATGATATCTCCAGATACAGTTTTAAAGGCTTGATACAGATTACAAAAGTCTCACCTCAGTAGGAGCTGTAGCAGTGATGGGGATGGGGGGAAGAACCAAAGCACTCTGCATTTAAGACCAGTTCCTGCAGCGACAAGTCCAAAGTGTTCCCAGATGGTTGCTCAGACACATACAGATGCTATGTTCTCAAAAACACAGAGTAAATACGGATATCTGCAGGTATTAATTTCTCTGCTGCTAACAACAAACTACAGCATACCAAATAAAACTTACTTCTTCAGTCACACTGAGCTCAATTTGAGCTCAAGTTCTACATCTTATGTTCCTTCAGAGTTCACAGTGTCATTTATAGGTCCAAAAGAAACTAAATGTCTATTTACTTCAATGGGAAAGTGCAGCAAGGAAACTATGATTGTCAGACCTGGAACATGCTTTCCACTTTATGGAGGCTATATAATGTGTCAACAATTTAAAATGTTAAACCTATTAGAACAGGACAAAATGTAAACTGAGGAAACAATTCTATTTTATGACATTGAGAAATTAAAAATAAAAATAAAGCCAGGAAACAATAGCAAATATTGTGCTATGGCTCCACACAAACGTGCAGGCAGCCATCCAGCTTACAAAGGAAGAACAAGTTATCCAGAAATTATTTTCTAAGAATTGCACTGACATAGTTGACAGCAGCATTAGTTACAAGTACAGCTAAAGGAAAGTGAGAGTTTTATTGACATATTGGCTTGGATTGCATTCAAAGCTCAAATGAAAGTGCTAACTTGCAGGCAGAAAGTGTTACAAATGAGAAGGCAGTCATTCTTCTGTCCTGAGAAACAAAGCAAATCCTTGTTTTAGTCCTTCCTGGAGTTCTACCTTGTATTTGTGAATGTAGGACTGCTGGAAAGGCTAAAACTGACAGCTCTTTTAATCTGAGCCTTTAATTTTAGAGCGGAGGTTAATGATTGTGACTTCTATATTAATATGCATTGTAATATAATGCCTCCAGTTATATATACCTTTCTCCAGTTACTCAAGCAGAGGCAAGAGTAAACTGTCCTTCTTTAACCCACTCCTTAGACAATCTTCTTTTGCAGTGAAAGGTATGGCATGGGGAACAGCAGTCACGCGCTTCTGCTCAGCCAATACACCTGAACTCCAAACCAAAAAATTCTGTGCAACACATGAGAAAACTGAGTCTTTACAGCTTTTCAGTCTCTGGAACTGAACTTCCAACAGAAGTGCTGATTACTGAAGAAGACTAAAACCACTGATTCAATTTGTTAAATCAGGATAATTCATGTTAAAACAACTTTGGATCATTGCTGTCTCCAGCAAGACTTAATTTGACCAAGGCCTCTGACATACTGATAGATGCAATAGGCTTCTCTGTTACTTCAGTACTTCCTATTACTCTGTCAATGCTCATAATAATCAACTCACAAAAATAAATTTATTTTTTTTCCTAGAATGGCTAAAATAATGAATGGACAGAGGACACAATTTACAATTATACTTTGGACTTTCTAGAAATGTCTCCAATTGTTTGTGTGGGTATCAAAATCCCAAACTGTGACCTCTTCAGATGTCCCCTATTCTAGACTGCATTGACTGGCCCTGTGCCTCCCTTAAAACCCCAGACTTTAAAATTCTCTGCATAACTGTCATTCAGCCTTCTGCATACCAGAAATTTATCCGTGGGTATTTTCCTTTGGGAAAAAAAACACAAACAACAACAGAGTCCAGAAGAAAAATTTGAGCTGTGACCATTTTAAATGGTTAATGCACTTCCTAAGAAGCAAGCCAGCCAGATTCAGTCCTCTGCCCAAGAGGGAGAGTACAGATATACTGTGCTTTGGAGGCCAGACCACAAGAGGAGGAGAGGATGCTGCAGCACAGGTGATAACAGAGATGAGAATCTGACTGGCATTCAAAAGAGAAGTGAAAATCTCCCTGAAGTGGGAACTAATTGGAAAATTGAGACTGATAAATTTCTGTGACTTCTTTCCTCTGTGAAGGCAAGAAGCGGAGACTGCAGAGAAGATGGGCATGAAAATGCTGCAGGCTAGAGAACAAGAGGCAGACACCCAGAAATCCAGTTACTGAAGAAGCAAGGAGTACCATTTGATAGAAAGCTGTGTTAGTATCATGTTGCAGATGTTGAACCATTCTGGGAAGTCACCCCTGAGCAGAGCTCCAGGATTCACCTCAAGAACTTTCTTCAAGATTGTCAAGGAGTATATCATTGCTGATGAACTGGAAAGCTTGGCTTCCAATGGTGTGTTCCCATCATTTGAGATAGCCAAATTATAACCCTTTCCATATCTCCAATATGACATTTAAAAGTTGACATAGTATTATGCAGGTTTAGAAAAAGGACCTAATTCAGTGAGGAAATGAGCAAAAGGAGAAACTGAAGACACTTCCCTTCTCAATCTCTATTTTTTAAAAATCAATCATAATTTGGAAGAGGACCGTGAGAGATGTACTGAGAGGATCTGCAGGTGCTGAAGAGAAAGAATGGCAGATGTTTTCCATGGTTGACTGGCTCAGGAGAAAACCTGATGCTGAGATACACAAAGAGGAAATAAGTACACCGGAATTTGTGTTTCTTAATAGAACAAAGACCAGTAATTCTGCATGCTTTCTTATTATTTAAAACTCAAAGATTTTCTTGACTACATAGCTTAGTCATTCTCTCAAACCAAGTAAAAAATGTGACATTTATATCAGTTGTCCACACAGTCTCTTCCCAACTCTGCCTCCCAAAAGACTTCTTATGACAAAGATGCGTGCCAAAGACCAGGTTCCCCTAATTTTTGGGTGTTTTTTTTCATCCTAGGCCTTAACTGACTTTTTGAATGAGGAAGTGAGTCTATTATTTTGATTCCAAAACGAAAAAAGCAAACTGGGGGAGGGACTCATCACAAACATGAGTGAAAGCTCATGCCCTGCAGAGGCAATATCTGACTACACAGATCAATGGTCTGGTTCAGCATGATGCTTTGTTTCTAACCTGCTTCTCCTGAGTTCTAAAAAGTTTGAAGTTGGCTTTCAGAACAACATATATTCTGAGCATCTATTCTGATCTCCCTGTCTTTTAAAAGCCAACACAGGGGGATAGCAAGAAGTGACAAATGTTCAAAGAAAACTCATTAAATCAAGTTAAAAA